TGCAAGTCCTTTCCTGATGCGAGGCCGACCATTGTGGTGAGAGAGACGGAGAGTGTTGTACACAGTCTCGTCCCGGGAGATCTCTCACGGCTGATCACTGGACGAGGGGGCTCTGTAAGCAGAGTAGTGCTCGTATGTCAATGGTTCACGCCCATCTTGGCGAGCAATTTGACGTGATTGATTTTAGGGGATCTTCACGCTCCATGAGGACTGGAATCCTGAGTCCATGAGAGCGGGAGTCCTAGCTCTATGAGGACGGAGGGTCCTGGCTCTATGAGGACGGGAGTCCTGGCTCCATGAGAACGGGAGTCCTGGCTCTATGAGGACGGGAGTCCTGGCTCCATGAGAACGGGAGTCCTGGCTCTATGAGGACAGGAGTCCTAGGTCTATGAGGACGGGAGTCCTGGCTCTATGAGGACGGGAGTCCTGGCTCTAAGAGGACGGGAGTCCTGGCTCTATGAGGACGGGAGTCCTGGCTCTATGAGGACGGGAGTCCTGGCTCTATGAGGACGGGAGTCCTGGCTCTATGAGGACGGGAGTCCTGGCTCTATGAGGACGGGAGTCCTGGCTCTATGAGGACGGGAGTCCTGGCTCTATGAGGACGGGAGTCCTGGCTCTATGAGGACGGGAGTCCTGGCTCTATGAGGACGGGAGTCCTGGCTCTATGAGGACGGGAGTCCTGGCTCTATGAGGACGGGAGTCCTGGCTCTATGAGGACGGGAGTCCTGGCTCTATGAGGACGGGAGTCCTGGCTCTATGAGGACGGGAGTCCTGGCTCTATGAGGACGGGAGTCCTGGCTCTATGAGGACGGGAGTCCTGGCTCTATGAGGACGGGAGTCCTGGCTCTATGAGGACGGGAGTCCTGGCTCTATGAGGACGGGAGTCCTGGCTCTATGAGGACGGGAGTCCTGGCTCTATGAGGACGGGAGTCCTGGCTCTATGAGGACGGGAGTCCTGGCTCTATGAGGACGGGAGTCCTGGCTCTATGAGGACGGGAGTCCTGGCTCTATGAGGACGGGAGTCCTGGCTCTATGAGGACGGGAGTCCTGGCTCTATGAGGACGGGAGTCCTGGCTCTATGAGGACGGGAGTCCTGGCTCTATGAGGACGGGAGTCCTGGCTCTATGAGGACGGGAGTCCTGGCTCTATGAGGACGGGAGTCCTGGCTCTATGAGGACGGGAGTCCTGGTTCTATGAGGACGGGAGTCCTGGCTCTATGAGGACGGGAGTCCTGGCTCTATGAGGACGGGGGTCCTGGCTCTATGAGGACGGGGGTCCTGGCTCTATGAGGACGGGGGACCTGGCTCTATGAGGACGGGGGACCTGGCTCTATGAGGACGGGGGACCTGGCTCTATGAGGACGGGGGACCTGGCTCTATGAGGACGGGGGACCTGGCTCCATGAGAACGGGAGTCCTGGCTCTATCACAGACGTGTGGGACTCAACTGACCTCCCCCGGCGTGTCTCCTGAGGTATGTAAATGTCACGTTAGAGCCAATGAAAGTGAATGAGATTCTATGTTCATACATTGTTCCTTGACTCTGCTGGTGGTCAGTTGTTGGGTGGTGAATGATTATTCTCCGAGTGTCTCCTTGGATCAATGCAAAATTGGTCAGAATTAATAGTGATAACAGTCAGAACAGCAACAGTCAGAAATAATAAGTGATATAAATTTAGTCTTCATAATTTTTATAAATAAATTTTAAATTATACTTGTATTATCTGGTTTTTATTATAAATATTTATATCAAACATGTAGACAATGAGTCATAATGACGTGGCTGAAGATATGATGACCAGAAGATGAGGAGACGACGACGTTTCGGTCCGTCCTGGACCATGATCAAGCTGATTGTCGTGTCACCCACACGTGTCAAACATGTGTTGGGAATTTCTATTGTAAGGTTGAAGGAAAAGCCACAGGTTCTCAGTTCGAGGACTGGTGGCTTCGGCCACATCCAGCTCCTCTAATTTATTCTTTACTTCCTCTGGTTTTACTTGTATTTCAATCGTTTTTTTCTCTACTGGCACTGTTCCATTACATATTGTAGATCCAGAGTGCTGTTCTGGATCAAATTTGAAAAACTTCCTGGAAGCTTTTATTGAATTTTTCACAAACTTCTTCATCATTCTTTGTGTATCCTCGTCCTCTTTTATATAGTGTGTGTGTGTACTCGTCTAGTTTTGCTTGCGGAGTTGGCGCTTTGACTCTTTGACTATGTGACGTTTTGGTGTGTGTGGGGGGGGGGAGGAGGGGGGCACAGTTACTGCCACACTACTGTCCCAGCTGCGCCATAACTACGCCATAAGTATGAGGCTTTTGATTCCTTCGGGCAGCAGTATATTGGCAAACACCATTATCTCTAGAACTTTAAATCCTGAACACTACCCCGTGGATTTTCCTTCCCATCCGTCAGAGTGAGAGTGGCAGAGAGAACTTTTCCAGGACTCTTCAACCATTTGCAAAATTGTTCTGGCGCTTTCAATGATAGGGAAGTACTGGATACTGAACGATAAAGTCTCCATTTTTTCAAATACGTATCGCTATGCCCTGCAGGATATTGTATGAACGAAACACCCGCTGCAAATGGTCCATTAAAAACCTGTTGACTTCTTGAGGCTGAGAGATTTTCAGGATGCGAAGGCGAACAGAGAGGAAAGACGTGTTCACAGCCACTCAGGGGAATATAACGAACAGATTATCACTGATGGTGTGGAGTAGGTCACTATAAGGTTGACATTGATGGTGAGGATTGCGTCAGAACTTGGCAACGAAGCTAGTTCCAGAATTGTGAGGCATGAGATGTAAAGACAGACTGAGCCTAACAAAGCTAGGGAAGAGGAGAGACATGATAGAGGTGTATAAAATACTTAGGGGAATATACTGATTGGGGGAAAAAAAGAGGAAATGTTCACATTGAATACAAACAGAACATGAGGACGTGGATGGGAGCTTGAGAATCAAATGAGTCATAGAGATATTAGAAGGTTTTTTTTTGTACCGTTAGGAGGGTGGAGAAAATGGAATAAAATAAAGGAAGAGATTACAGAGCCAAACTCCATTCATGATTTAAAAAGTTGATAAGATGGGGAAATAGGTCGGGAGTTAGAATAGACAAGTAAGTGCCTACAAATAGGTGAGCACACACACACACACACACACAGTAGTGTGTGTGTGTGTGTTTATGGGTAGATAAAGACAGTCTATTTAACACAAGGGGAACACGCACAAGGGGACACAGGTGGAAACTGAGTGCCCAAATGAGCCACAGAGATATTAGAAAGAAGTTTTTTAGTGTCAGAGTGGTTGACAAATGGAATGCATTAGGAAGTGATGTGGTGGAGGCTGACTCCATACACAGTTTCAAGTGTAGATATGACAGAGCCCGATAGGCTCAGGAATCTGTACACCTGTTGATTGACGGTTGAGAGGCGGGACCAAAGAGCCGGAGCTCAACCCTCGCAAACACAACTAGGTGAGTACAACTAGGTGAGTACACACACACACACACACACACACACACACACACACACACACACACACACACACACACACACACACACACACACATATCCTCCCTATTAAACATGGTAAATGGGGTAACAGGTTTGACCCATTGTGAGAGCCCCCTCCCACATCGCCCCCCTCCCCACCAAGCATCTCTGACATAAACTTGGATAAGGAACACAGTAGAGAACAATGGTTGGTAATTACAGTTGGCGCGGGTTCTCACAGACCACTCCCAGGGCCTCGGTGTTGCGTCCCACTCCCCGTCACTACTCCACACGA